GGGCAGCAGGGACATTTAATGTGCATGCTACAGTCAGAGAGCAAGCTGTTAATAATGTTAATAATTATATGTATGAGGTATAGATTAAGGTGTGCTTACCATGTGTTGGCATTGCCAGGGCCCCAGGTCGGGCAGCTGCCGCACACACAGCCCACGGAGGTGGGATTACATGCGCCTATAGGTGGGATTACATGCGCCTATAGGTGGGATTACAAGTGCCTATAGGTGGGATTACAAGTGCCTATTCGCAGCCATCAGACGAGACGCTCCCGAGTTTACCCGTGATGAACAGGGTACAGATGCACTTTGGAAATGAGGTTACTAAAAAAGCTCCGGAGATTCCTCTGCGGCTGGTTTAAAAGTATTTTCTTCCTTAGAAGTAATGCTTGAGCTCTAAGCAACTTTTCCAGCGTACAGGAATATTGCGAGCTCGGCCTTTTTTTGCACAGGGAGTTTCCTGGGTGCGGAGGAAGAGAAATGGGAAATAAAGAGCAGGGCACGTTTGTGGCAGACGATATTTAATCGGGACGAGAGAAGGAGCAACCCAGAGAGGGTTCGGCATCATTTGGGCTTTGTTCCCCGCAGTTTGCAGCTGGGAGGCTGGGCTTTGAAGTAAGAACAAGTTCTTTAAACTCGTTATTGCAGGCGGATGGCATAGGCAGGCAGATGGGTATCGACTGGGTTTTGTGCAGCGGAGCACTCCCCGCGATATCTTTTTGCTGGCCGAGGATTGGAGGGGGTCTACTTCACCCAAACCTCATTTAGTGCCTAAAATGCTTTAATTACAACGTAGTGGAAAAAAGTATGATGTGGGCTTGAAGTCTAAACTTGATTATATCACCCAGACTGCAAGTGTCTGCTGCTTTATGGTCTTTCAGGCCCGCAGAGGGAATTATCTATCTATGCAAAAGGGTTGCCAAAAATATTAAGGCAATGATATAGGGATTCATACACGGCTATCGATTTATCTCGCGTATCGATCCCGCACAATAGCTTACATATACACAGGCTCCTGTTATGTTTGCGATCTGAGCTTACTTGACATTTCTGAAGTAATTTAGTTAAGAGGAAATGAGTTGTTCCCAGTAGAGAGAGCAAACGAGTGGAGTGAAGGTAGCCAGCGTGATAAATGGCTCTTTCATTTGGAGATCTCCAGAGCTCGTTTAAGGCTAATTTTCTGTATTAGCCCCCTTTGAGCTATTAATGCAATAGGCAGGGACCGTGGCCCCTCGTCTCTTAGCTGCCCCATTAGATCGAGCATTAAGCTACCAAGCCTGAACTCTACTGTGGTGGTGGTGGTGGCGGTGAAATAATGAAAGGTGCTTTTTAAACTCTCCTAATCTAAAGTGGCAGAGGGTGGTTAATACGATTTGAAGGGGGCTGGTCAATGAACAATCAATAAACTAATAATGAGAAGGATGCGGTACATTAACAGTCTAAAAATCCAACGAGACATTAAAAAATCATCGTTAACTCCTAGTTCCATTAAGATTTGGGTGGTGGGAGTGGGAGGGAGGGAGCCAGATAAATCATTAAGATGATAATAATCACCAAGAGCATTAATACCAGATTTAACTCGGCTTTAAGACCTTACTGGCTGCACGGTTGGAGGCCTTTCCCTCCATTTCTGCTGAAAAGAAGGGCAGGTTTTCCCTGTGTCAGGAATAAAAAGATCGGGTCCCCTTCTCAACTGCTCATCTGACATTTGCTTGGCACCGTCTGGGGCAAAAGAAGTTGGCCTCTTGCAAATTCTTGCGTGGCCCGTGTCCCAGGTTAATTTTTCGTGTGTGTGTGACTCTGGGGCACAGTCAGTGACCTTAAAATTATCCTGATGTGTTTATTTACTTTCAGCTCTTTCCGACGGTCGCCTGCATGCTCACACCTGATTCAGCACGAAAGGCCACTTTAACCCCAACACCTGAATTCATTCTTCCCTTGCTCTGGCGTTCATGTGATTTTAAAGAAACGGATGCAAGGAGGTGTCTTAATACATATATATATATTTTAAAACTCTTAATAATACAGCATAAGATTCCTCCCCACCCCTTCTTGAAGTATCCGGATAAATGATTAACTGGAAACCGCTCCGGCCTCAGCTTTCCAGGTGATAGATCTGGGAATCGGAGATGAGGCTTCGCGGCCACTCCGTTTCGTGCTTTTTCCTGGATTACCCAGTGAACCTTACGATCCACTTTAATGGAATGCAAAACAATTTCGAGGGAATACATTTCACTTTGAAATTTAGTCCCAGCTTTTCAGGGGGAAGGGACTGCGGTGGTCTTTTAGTGGCGATGGGTAAGACGTTGTCCCCAGATTTTCTAGATTTGGCTACAAAGTCAGAGCAAATCGTCCTTAACAACCAAGTCCTGTTATAATGAACAAAGAACTTTTTACTCATTTCAGGCCAGTAGGCAGAAAAAACGATTTGCAGGCAGTTTGATAGCTGATTAGTAATAAATTGGTCCACGAGGTTTGTTAGTAATAAACAGAAGAAATATTTCTTCTGATTAATTGATTGACTGATCGGCCATCATATTCATCAGGGTTATTGCAACGATGTCCATAGCTTAGAGCCTCGTTACTCAGCTATTTCCAAGACATAATTCGATCTATTTGTATATTTTTCGTGTGGCTGACAAGCCCTTTCATTCCTATTGCCTCTTGTCTGGGGGCATTGGTGCCCCTTTTCCAGGCGGTTGTGGAGAGCCACCCAACAGAGAACCACCACCACCACGGGGGGAAAAAAAAAAACCAACAAAAAACCCCAACCCAACCCAACCCCAAAACCCCAACCTAAGACTTAATGTATGCACAGAAAATTGTAAACATGTAAAGAACTGAAAGCTTCCCGCTGAGTTTCGCCATGCTCCATTTCCCCACCATTTCCTGCTGTCGTTTTAAAGCGATCTCACTCATCTAGAGCTCCCGTTTGCAGGAGCGCCAGGCTTATAATTACTAACAAATCAAGCGGCTACTGTTGCTCTCCCGGTTTATTGATAAGCTGAAGAGAAATGGAAGGGGGAGAAATGACAAAGAGGCTGGAAGTAACCGCAGGAGGAGAAAGAGAGGAAGAAAGAGAGAAAGGGGTAGAAAAGGAGAAAGAAAGGGATGGAAAAGGAGAAAGAAAGGGATGGAAAAGGAGAGAGAAAGGGATGGAAAAGGAGAAAGAAAGGGATGGAAAAGGAGAAAGAAAGGGATGGAAAAGGAGAAAGAAAGGGATGGAAAAGGAGAAAGAAAGGGATGGAAAAGGAGAAAGAAAGGGATGGAAAAGGAGAAAGAAAGGGATGGAAAAGGAGAAAGAAAGGGATGGAAAAGGAGAAAGAAAGGGATGGAAAAGGAGAAAGAAAGGGATGGAAAAGGAGAAAGAAAGGGATGGAAAAGGAGAAAGAAAGGGATGGAAAAGGAGAAAGAAAGGGATGGAAAAGGGGGGCTGCATGGACCCCTGTGCCTTATTCTGTATTATTTCAGCAGTTGTGGCAATCCCTAACCCACAGGGAAAGTTGACATCGACGAAAAAGCTACGGTGGCCTTACAGTTTATTTACATACGTGCAGCTTCACCCTCTAAACCCCCGACGTTATATTATCTCTGGTAATGCCTGGGCTATATCTGGAATGCTATAGCCACGATCAACATATAGATACGATATAGATAGAGATAATTCATTCCATGGCAAACACTTTTTTTGAGGCAGCATTAGGTAATTTACAGAAGATATAGAGTCTAGATAGAATACATCTCTCTGAAGCTATGAAATTGCAATAGATATGCTTACACCGCCTGGTAAGCCTCTAAAATGGGTTTAGAGTTATTAGACTTGTTATTCGGGTGTGTTCATTCGGTCCTTTTCGGGGAGGCACTGGTAGGAACAAAAGCTGAGGAGCTCCCGGCATAGCTGGGAAGGGAGCCAGCCGGCTTCCCAAAAGCAATTTGCCGGGGAAAATAAATAAATAAATGCATACTGGGCACGTGCAAATCCATATTTCAAAGGTTAACTAATGTAATGAGTGCTCCAAAGAGGCCAAAGCGAGTGGGGGTGAGGTACTTTTAAGCATTGCACGGGTCCCTCTCTCTTTAGTGAGTTTGGACTAAGATCAGATGTTCGTGGAATTGCTGCCTCTTGTTTAATTTCTCAGTTCACTGGACAGTGACCTGATAAACCGGTCACTAAATATAGCCACTGCAAAGGTGTGCTCGAACCACCGAGCCCGGCTGTTTGCCCGAAGAAAAAAATGCCAGTCATGAAAATCTGTCTCTCGTGGCCCTGCTTTAATCTAATTCTTTATTTTATTTTATTAACTTTTTCTTGATGCTTCACTCAAATGACGTTGCCGAACATCGTGCATTAAATGATATATCTACGTATAATGGGAGGAGAGAGAGAGAGAGAGACTTATTTTTATCTGCCCATACTACCTCCGATACCCCAAACGAGTGCCTTCCTATAGAATCAATGGTAAACCCCCCCTATTAACAGCAACAAAAGCAGGAGCGGGCCTCTAACCCTTTTATAACTGTTTCTATGCCGTTCTCAAACTATTTGAAACCGCCTTTATGAGCTGCATAAAGTGCCTAACTAAAAATAATAGAGAAATAGGAATCCATTTCACTTTCCCGTTCCCTGGAGTAAAGCCACTCAAAATAATTTGTTTATACTGGAGACTATATACAAGGCATATGAAGCAATATGTATATCTAAAATCGACATGCCTTTTGGTTTTTAGCTGTTATAGAGCTTTTATTGTGGGGGTCTGGTCTGGCAGTAGGAAATGATCTGTAATAAAACCAGTGAAACACGGTTGTGTCTATTCCATACACCGAGGTTATAAAATTGGCAATTGCCCAGTAGTTAGCACTTGGTAATATATTAGGATACCCGATCTTATTGTTTAGCAGCTCCAGACGACTTAAATATCCCCTCAACCCTAATGGTTTGATTCTCCAGATATGTTGCAAATAAACAGGGTTTTTATGACTTAACTGACATGTATTATAACTACCTAAATAGCTGGCATATGTGCATAATAGAACCCTATTATTTGCCGAATTGGTTTTGCAATTGATTGAGTGGAAATGGGAGCCTCTGAAGCAGGATCTGCTGGGCGAGGGTGTGTAATCAATTTGTCTTCTCCTCTGAAACATGCCCGGACTCTACCACCAGCAACCCCCTCCCCCCCCAATTTCAGAGTATATTTTCTATAAGGAAACGCGTGTTGCCGCGATTCCGAGAGGAAGCAGCAGTAGCAGCTGTCAGCTCTTATTAACTCCTGCATAAAACATACCTTAAGTACGGTTTGTTATCAATTACTTGCAGAAATGAAACAACTGGGAGAAGGCAGCGAGGCTCCCTATAAATTAAAGTGATCGGCTGATTGATTAGAGCCCCTCCTGTAAATCATAACGCTTACGCACAATTATGGGGGAGCTGGGCACCCGTAACCAAAATTCCTATTACGGGGGAATTGCTCTCATTTTCAGTTTAGCCAAATTTTTGTTGTTGTTGTTGCTTCCTGAGCGCGTCTGGTTGCTATTACAGGAATTTGTTCGTTATAGTCCCCTTGGCTACTCTTAAAATAACCTCACTACTTTCTCAGAGAAAAGAAATATTTAGGTTTATGGTGGACAGAATAACATGGGTTTATTTTGTTTAGTTTCGCTTTATTGTTCTGGTTTTATTCCCCCCCCCCCCCCCCC